CACGTTGGCACTTCTTGGTGTGTTCCCCCGCAGCACCCTGCGGTCTCCCGCCCTGGCGCCCTTGAGAGGGGCGACAGCTAACCTTCCCCACCCCGGGCCTGGGCCCCCGAGAGCAGGCGCCAGCTTCGTCTCCGCCACCAGCACGTTCCTTGGCACCCCCAACACGCCCACACTCAGAAGTTGCTTGATAAATGTTGTTGAATGAATGAATGAACGAGTGAACAGACAAGTGTCCGCCAAGCGGGACGCGAGAGAGTTATCTGCGGGAAGGGCAGGCACTGAGGACGCACGGACGGATCCTCACGGCAGCACCGCCGCAGATGGAAAAGGAAAAGGTCCACAGCAAAAACACACCAAGCTATGCCCCAAACCGAGAGGGGGTTCCCCGTGGCCCCAGGGCTGCAGGGGTGCTGGGGAGATGCGGTCACCACCGAGGGACACTTGGGACCCAGGTCTGCTTGGGGGGCACAGGGTGGCACTGGGTACACACCCCTCATGGCAGGACAGGCACCCAGTTCAAAGCAACAGGGCCCCACTGCAGGGCACCTGTGGGCCAGCCCTGCGGGATCCCACCCCCGGGCCCGGTGGAGCCAGGGATGCCCCCCCCACCCCTCTTGCTGTCGCTCAAACCACCGCCCGCATCTCAGTAAAGGCCACAGGTGACAGTGACAGCACAGTCAAAACCTGGAGACGGGGCTCAGGGGCGTCAGACTGCGGCTTCACATGAGGGAGTTGCTTCCTTCCATGAGAAAAGGAAGGGCGTCACGTGCACAAAGAGGGTGGCCGAGGAAAACAGACCCTGTGGGACGCTTGGAAGTAGAAAATATAAAAACCCGCACATGGGTGTTAAATGAAGAATGGATGAATGACTTGAAAGCAATCAACAGGTGAAGTTACAAATGTATTTTATACTTAACGTTAGATAATTTTTTAACACATTTTATGAGCACCTACTGTGTGCGAGGGAGGCGGCCGGAGGGCAGCCAGGGGACCCGCATTGTCATTGTCAGCTTGGCCAGGACTGCAGCCACAGGACCCCAGGGCCCTGGAACGAACTGTCTGAATCCACAGGTGTAAGAAATGCAAGAGCAGGTGGAGGTGACCCCAGGGAGGGGCCGAGGCGCCCACAGCTTCTGCTCTGCCAGATGGCCACGTCCTCCAGCCCCCGGGCAGGCGGAGGCAAGGCCTGAGCCAGGGAGAGTCATGTGGGGCCGGAAGACCACCCCCACCAGTACCCGCTATCCACTCCCCTCCCCGCCCAGACCCCCGCTGCCCCCCCACTACCCAGATGCCGCCGTGGGGCAGGGCGGCCCAGGTTCTGCAGACACACATTCAAGGTCCCCTGATGCTTCTCAGTTGTCAGAAATGCGGGCTCAGCTCCCCACAGGTGACGCACACGTGTCAAAAGTAATTGTCATCCACCCTCCACGCTTCCGCCTGGAGCAGGAGGCGCGTGCGGGCCCACAGCAGCCCACGTCCGGCAGCGCCACGACCTGAAGGAAGGGGAGGAGCACCTCCGCCCCGGGCTGCAGGCGGAGCCAAGGCTCAGGGACGTGGGCCTGGCCTCCTCCCTGGGGTGACGCGGGGTGGGTCTGCCTCTATTCCTGGAACCAAAGGCTGGGAGGGCCCTTAGGGGTGTCCTGTCCCGAGGGTGCTCCCCGCCGGGCCTGGGTTCAGGACAGCAGATTTGGAAAGCACAGACCCCAGGTCTGGGCCGCGCGTCCAGGCACCGTCTGTGGTGCCCCGATGCCAGGCTCCTCCTGTCACACCTGTGCCTGGCTAGACCCCAAGCCCGCCGGCCGAGGCGGCTGCGGCCTCGCGGTCCCAGGACAGGCTAGCCGTGGAAAGGAGGCTCGAGTGCCCTCCAAGGGCTGGGGCACTGAGTCCAGCCCCTGCGAGTTCGCCTCCCGGAGCCTGGGCTTGGCTGTGCCGGAGGCTCCTTCTGCCCCTCCCCACCCCCGGGACCACGTGGTGGGAAGCTTTGTGACCCTGCTGACACCTTTGTCCGGTATGGCACACCGCCCACCCACACCCC